AAATATATATATATATATATATATATATATATACTGTATATATAATTACTTGTCCTGACTGACTGACTCACTGATTCATCATCGCCCAGAGCAAACCGCTGAACGTAAAAAGGTGAAATTTGGTACACAATTACAGTATGCCATGAGAATGCACAATAAGAAGGGATTTTTCGAAATTCTTCCGCGGGGGGGGAGATGGAGAGGATTAAGGCTTAATCGGAGGAACGGCTTCTACTGTACTATTTTAGATGCAATTTTTTGTTTTCAATAAGTACTTAGGTGTATTAAATTGATAACATTTCAGACATTGTTATAAATATTTTCATGTATTTCGATTATTTAACCAAATGTTCGAACCGTTTTAAATTCGAATTTGTTATTGCATATTGGTTCGATTATAGAACGATTGTAGACGTTCCAGAAAATTGATCAAATTGAAAATACTTTGTTTGATTCTCAGCGGTAGTTGTGATATAACAATTACTATCAAATGTTATCAATCTAATACACCTAAGTACTTAATGAAGACTAAACGTAGTTAAAAACAAAAAATCGCTTCTAAAATAGTACGGTAGAAACCCTTCTTACGGTTAAGTCTTAATGCTCTCCCTCTTCCCCGCTGGGGAATTTCGAAAAATCCCTTCTTAGTGTGCGTTTTCATGATGTACCAAATTTCACCTCTTTAGATTCACTGGTTTCATCTGAACGATGATGAATCAGTGACTCAGTTAGTCAGTCAGAACAAGTAATTATATATATTTAGATAACATTACATAACGTATTATATTTTATATATTTTATTAAAACGAAAACAATTACATTTTATAAAACTGAAATACATTTCGCTGTAACAAGGTGTAATTAATATTGCATTTTAAGTTTTTATTATTTATTATATGCTTATGTCTACATTACATATGTGTAAATTTATGTACACTTTGTGAAGTGTATGAACTTATAATATATTGCTGGGTGCAATATCATACAAAGTAATAACATTAAATATTTAACGAATCGTAATCATCCTTAGCAATACCAGATTGGAAAAATAGAGAAAAATTTTTTATTGTATGAAAACAAGAATTTTATATCGTGTTATGGAAATCTTATCGTTTCTGCTTTATCGATTTTTTATTAATTTAAACAGAAAACTGGTTTTTTGACAGTTTTTGTGTTTCACATGTTACTAACAATAACAATATGTACAATTTTTATTTACAGATAATTGCTGTAGAATCTGAAGTCGATTTCCGAAAATCAGTTGAAAAATGTGATGAGATTAAAACTGAAGAGGAAAATTTAAAAATTCAAAAAAGTATGAAAATTAATATTAAAATGATACTTGAATTTTTGGAGAAAGAAAATCACAAGAAGAAAAATGAATCTGAATATCCACCGGAAAATATGCAATTGTGTTCAAAAACCACTAAAAAAAATTGATTTCAGCAAAGCATCAGACTAATTAGGAATATTTAAAAGATGTTTTTTCTTGCAAAATTTAACAGTGAAATGCATTTAATTATGTTGTTTTTAAATCCAAATTAAAAGTTTTTTTTTATATTTAAATATATTATAGAACATTTGATAAATTCGAATTACAAAATTATATCATTTAAATATTTGAAGTAATAAAATTATTTTAAATTTTCCAATATCGTCAATTTCTGATATCTTCTATACATTCGTCGCGTTTTTATATCCCCAAATTGTACATATTAAATATAACGATTTGATGTAATTATCAGACAATTCAAGATTCATCAGATAATCTTAATAAAATCTAAAAATTTAGATTATGTTGAAAATATATTTTATAATTGTAATGAAGAGTTTTTCACTTTATTCCACTTATAAAACTTTATTGTTGTGCTTCACTGGAAAAATAAAAACGTGGTTTGGAGAACTAATCTATGCTCCCTTGTTACTTTTCTGTAAATTTTTAAAAGTACAGTACATTATAAGTTTAAAATTAAAATAAAATTTATACAAATCTGTAAATTGTGAAATAGCTACATTTACATTTAACATTAAGAAATTAATAATTTTAAACATTAATATTCTGTATTAGTGCAGTAACTGTAATAGATTTTTAAAAATTAATGTTAGATAATTTTCGGTTATACCATACATTAAATCGATAATAATGAACAATGAACTATTCTAATAATAATTATAACGTTATATAGATAAACAATAAAATAGTTGTGTAATTGTTGGGGCGTTTCAATTGCATATTCAAAAAGTCGATCTCAGTGGACAAAAAGATTAATTTAGAATTATAATTAATTTAGAGGATAGAAATCAGAACCCATCTAAAGAAAAAATGCATGTTTTGGAAATCGGCGGTAGTCCTTGGAAGAGCGCAACACATCGATGCACATATTGTGGTAAATTGTTTAATACTTTGGAAGAGTTGCAAAATCACATAAATCATGTACATAAGAAACGTTTGGAGGATTCTTATTCAGATAGACCATACTACAAGAATCTATCCGATTTTAATCGGCAAGGCGTTCTGTTTCACTTTTATTCAGAAGTAAGTACTAAAATATTTGACGGGTTGATGGAAAAATGTTTTCAGTGACAAATAGTTTAACTTGAATAATAGTAAAATTTAACATTATTNAAAATAATATTAGTCACACGTATTTACAATTTATAATTACAAATATCAGCACACTTACAAACCTATTCGTTCGAGAATCGTCACACACATCCCCTGTCTATCCGTTTTAAGCGCTTGTCTTTGCTTTTTCTTTCTCTTTCCTCTATCTTTCTAGTCCACGTATGGCTATGCATACATCATAATACGCGCTCACGATACTTTCGATTCGTCACTTTTCCCGTCGTAGATTTTCCATTTTACAATTAAGTGACTCATAGCCTGGTGATAACGGAGACGCATTTGATATCATCATTTATCACATACTGCCACGACGCTGTTGTCTGTCCGCTACAACTGTCAAGAATTAACGCGATTGGCGAAGAGTTGTGACAGTGGGCCAATGGAGAGCAGGACCTGGCCATAATGCGGTTTGCGCGCCAATTTTCGTATGTGTGTTAATCGAGCCGAATAGTTTGGCCGAATATTCGGCTATTCGGCCTGAGGCCGAATATACTATTCGTAACAACACTAGTAAATAAAATGAAAGTCATATTACGATAAATTTTTCATTACTTACTATGTGGAATGCAAGATGCAATACAAATTGAGATCTTTGATTTCATTTTCGAGATACAGGGAGGAGGTCAAAGTGACAGTGACAAAGCAGGGGAATTTTTTTTTTACTTTTTTATGCCAGCGGCTGTGGTAGTGGCAAGTGGTCATTGTACAGTACATGGACTCTGAAACAAAATAATTTATTTTCTAGCGCTTAGACTCAATTGTTAGCGCCTGTATAAACTGGAAACGAAATCTGTCTAATTTCATATAACAACGTACTGTTCATTGATTTATATAACTGCGTACAGAATGAACTGTACAATCAATCTCTAAAAAACATGAATAATGAGCACCACTGTACATGTTTTATACAAATATAATAAATTGTTAAATCTGTCTTTTGAAAGTAATCAATAATACTTTTATTGGTTGAGTATAATATGTTTTTACCACAAAAGTTTCCATGTTTGAAATATAAAGAAGCACATTTCTTGTACACATTTTTTGTCGTCTAAACATAAAATAAATTATATTTTATGTTTAGATGACAAAAAATGTGTACAAGAATGTGACATTGTTTAAAAAGATTTAATTGATATGATGTACTGTATAACGTTTCCATCGATTCATTAATAACAATAATAGATATGTTTTTTCTCATGTCAACAATAAATAGAATATCTGTGATATGATTCTTTAAATTATGTACTTACGTAAAAGCATGATACAAGTAGTATAATTACTCCAGAAGTTAATTGAAGCACTTATATTTTACAAATATGTGAGCCGTTCACAGCCCGGCACACGTGTTTGTAAAATCTAAGTGACTCGTACAACATGGAATTCATATAATACGGAAAAATCAACAGTGTTATAGGGGGGTCGACTGGTATTTCCATTTCTAAAATCTCTTCTTTAAAATTCAACTTTCTTTTTCATTATTCCAATATTTTTCATTTTCAATGAAAAATTCTTCATTATCTCTTATCAGTTGATTAGATTCGGACCAATCTATATTTAATTTTCCTCCAAGTTCCACAGGAATGTACATTGAATCAATCTCCTTAAAAAGGCTATCCAAATTTGAACCATGAAACCGAATCTAAAAAAAAAGAAAAACATGATTTTAGTTTAAATATTCTAAATTAATGAACGTGTTCAGTACAAATTAAATTAAATTTTAAAATTATTAGTCACGAAATTCTTCAAATTTCTTAATAAATTCCTTTAAATTAAGAAATACCTTAAAGTCTGATAGTATTGAAAGAAGTAGATACAAATAGGAAGCTTATATGAACAAATAGCAAAATAACCATACTGCAAAAGATACGTTTATGTGTTGTACGGTTTCACGAAATAAAATCACCATAAATTCTTCAGCGAAATCTCAGAAACACCTACGGCTTATAATAAACAGATACGAAAAACTTTACAGGTAGATACATAAATTAAAACAAGCTGGAAACTGTATTCATATCAGCAAACTTATAATACCTTTCATATACCAATATTTTAAGGTTTATTATCTTCCAGGCACATTTTATAAAGATTGGCTGAACCGTAATTGGTAATTTTATATCATAAAACTACAGTAATTTTTTGCAATTTGGTACTAGCAATTGCGGTTAGTAGGCATCCTGTAATAGGAGATGAGACAGAAAAAATCCTGTATGATAAACCAAATTTTAAAGTAAAAATCGAATATTTTGCATGCCATAACTCTTGCACATTCGATGATTCCGATCAATAAAATTACCACGAAATTGAGTGAAGGCTAAACTTAAAATTACCCACGCAATAACAAGTTTTAAATAGTAATGACATGCTACATACAAGTTTTCATTTTAAGATTGTGAAAGTCAAATAATTTATTAATGAAAAGGAAAATCCTGTAGTTTTGATTCATAACCACTGTATGTCTATTTAATATTGAAAGGGTTTATGCACTCATTAGTATTTATTAGTGTTTCTACAATTATGGCATTATTCATAAAAAGTTATATAAAGTTTTAACATCAAGTCACTTTAAAAAGAATTTTAGACAATAAGCTAAAATACTTACTCTTTCTTTTAATTTCTTTGGTAAAAATGGAAATACCACGGATATAATAGCAAAGAAGAAGCTATTAACATGAATAAAATGTATGCTCTTGTAAGACACAGGCAGGGCGTTCTATTAGAAAATAATAAGATAAACATTTTATTTATTAAATTTAAATTTGNCAATATGATTTCATCTTATACTTTATGAAAATTCAATATTGTTTTCATTTTTCTATGTAATTCTTTGTGTTGTTTCATGCATAAACATATTTGCTACTGTCCTGCTGCATTTCGTGTCAATCACAGCTGTACTTGTCGATTTTTTTGCAGTTTATCGCTCCTTGCTTAACTTTTGGCAGTGAGTATATATAGGCACGTAAACAAAGTATTCATAGAACTAGTACATTTTAAAGGAAAATAGTACATTTTTTGAAGGTGCTTTAGTAAGTTTTGAAATTTTATTGCGCAACACTGCTTTAATATACAACATGACTGTACTGGATTTATATTGCTTTCAGGTATGGAAAATTCTGAATAATTGGCTTGTTTTCAAAGGTTGCAGCATTAGTGAACAATTGTGGATAATGGAGCAACAGACTAAGGACCTTCTATTGTATCAGAATCTTTATATTATGTAAAGTACATGAATTTTATTCAAAAATTTTCATTAAATTAATTAACATACTTACATAAAACCACGATATAAGATATCTCACTATTTTTGGACTGAAGCAGATTACATGCTTCCATGATAACGTTTTTATATCCACAATTACGGAAACTCCATTAACTTGTAGGCGATGATCATTTAAATTGAAATCGATATGCATCAATATACCTCTTCCTAAATCTATCGCAGATATTTTGGATGTATCCCAGTGGCCTGTACATAAAAAACACATTTAATATCATTTATAAAAATTATTAACATTATTCTATCAAAGTAACTTATATCCGGTAGTACAGTGTTATACATACTTGCTCTACCGAATCCTAATCCCATACCACCTTCAACGTACAAATGAGCCATGACGTTCGATTGTAAAACATGTTCTATTGCCGACGGTCGAAGATTTTTTAATTCATTTACACTTCTTCTAACTGAATAATAATTCTTCAGTAGTTTCAAAGCATCGGATTTATCGTATTTTCTTGACCTTAGAAAGCTTAACAGAAACAAATCATCTGTCCTAGAATTCAAGTTCTTTTCACCTGAAAAAACAACATAAAAATTACTCTTTTCTTAAGAACATAATTTAAACTTATGATGTAAATGAAGAAAGCCTATAAAATCACCATTGACAAGTTAATATTTTTATAAATTAATCTAGATAAAATCAAAATTAAAATAGAAGTCAAATGTGGATCTGGAATTCGTGAAGTCAGGAGTTTCTGATTAAGAAATGTTCTAGAACCGAAACCAATAAAATCTCTCTCCGTAATTGAAAGTTAATCGTTCAGTCGTAAGTTGGCGAATACATTATACGCTTTCATGTTTTGTGTAATTATGCATTGCATTACTTAAATAAACAAATGAAAACTAAATCGGAATTTTTATCAATTAAAGAAGATAAAGATGAAACAATAGCCAAAAACTTGATACATTGAAGAATACACGACTATTTAGAAACAATATTACGATTACTCACTTTTATATTCTGCTTGAAAAGAATGATCAGAATTGCCCCGGAAACTCATGGATTGATTGAGTTGTCCTGATTATAAGATAGAGTATGTTTACACTATGGTTGCAACTATGGAAAATTTGGTGCAAATCAGTCAAAAGGTTTGGTAATTTGTGGTGAGAAATCAGTAAGAAGATACTAGGATTCGAGATTTAAATAGCATATATTTTTAGAAGATTGTAGTAACTAACAATGCAAATTTCGTCCAGATACTCGCAAATTGTTTGGAAGATCTAACATCAGTGGGGTCATGCTTTTGATCTTTGGAAGGAGCGCTTACATCGATGTATTTTAACCAAAGGAGCGTATTTTGAATATATAAATAAATATTTTGTTTAAGACCTTATAGTATTTCTGTTTTACAAAACGGTAAAATAAACATACTAAATTTCAACTCGCTCTAAATTATCTCAAGTTATACAGATTGATATAAATGTTTGTGTGAGATTTCACAGAAAGGTAATATTTTTCAAGAGCGAGGAAATTAGATTTTATTATTCCCCCAAAAGTGACTGAATAATTCAGCTCCACTTCCTATTCTAAATGTCAATAAATCGCTAATTGTTTTATGACTGTAAACAAAAAATTACTTCTAAAAGCCTAATGTTACGATCAAATAAAGACACGTGTCCCGATAAATAGATGATACTGCTACGTAATAATAATAAATTTTAATTTTTGTAAAATTGGAAGTATTAAATTTTTCACGTGTTTGTGACACCGCAAAGTTTTAGGGTGGAAAAAAGTTTTCCCATTGGAATTAAATTAAAATTTGTCCAGACATTAAGAAAGCGCAAAGAATATAAGGAATGATATAACTATAATGTTGTATTGTAATAAAATAAAATGAAAAATTAATTATTATAAAGTGGCAGAATGCTTAATTTTGAGGGCAGGGACAAGTTTTATAATAAACTGTAAATGCTAATAACAATTTGACTCAAGGTATGATACACCACCCCGTTTTATTTTTCCAGCCCTCTAACACAAAAAAGTCTTTCCAAAATTGCAAAAACTTTCGTCAGTAGAAACATGAGCAATTGAGCTTCAATGAGGATGAATAAAATCGTGCCAAAACACTAACCATACATACAGAAAAACCCTTTTTTTCTGTATTTCTCTACGTTTGTAGATTTCCTTGATTAAAAAAAATGTAAAATCTTGAATTTTATTTTCTCGGCAATCGCCATACTCTTCCTTCATTATACATAAAAGCAACAAAAGTTAAAATCTTTATGATAAGCACAAATTGATTGACATTTCAAAAGATAAATTTTATTAGAGAGAACTTTAAACATGTTATAAAAAATTTATCTAAATATAAATATTATCTTACTTATCGAATGCAAAATATCGAATTTAAATTAAATTTAGGTGTATAATTATTATAATTTTTCGTATATATTGGTATTCTAACGTTTTATATAAGAGTTTTTGTGTTATTTATATTTACATAATTATTATAATATACGCTGTATTAGATCTTTGTGCTTTTTTTATGCGCTACTAAAACGTCTTACAACTTTAATTCAAGTTATAATAATTTATATCATCATTCTTTAATATGAATATTACAGTTTAAGCGAAATCACGTAGACATTTTCGGCATAATAATAGAAATCTCTATGATTCCACGTTATAGTTACTATAGATTATAGAGAAAATAATACATATACGGTTCGAAATACTTACGAAGAACCATGTTTCTAAATTCTTCCAGTTCCTTTTCGTTCCATGAATACTCTATAGATGTATTGACACCCTTACTTTGAACAATGTTCATTTCTTGCATATTAAAATCCTTTGTTTCTAAAGGTTGTAACTTGTAAGTCGCATTTACAAGAGAAGAGACAGGACTGATTATAAACTATGACCGATTAATATATGTTTAGATAAGCGTAATCTTATCTTATTTATTCAAACTTATCTACACGTGTTTCGATAATGTTATTTATTTCACAGTGAATTTTAACCCTAGATTACAATGTCAAAATCAGAAGTACAGGAATTAGGAAGTAGAATGCTTTGCAAATTCTACTGTTTGTTTGATTTATTAGTTTCATGTCTAAATACTGACTGACAGTGATATAAAGAACATGTGATGATATATAGCAGACACGGGCAAATGATGATCTTTTTGAGTTACGTGCCGCTCTCTGCTGAAAGTGTTAATTTATGCTTTTTATCATTATTTTTACAAATTTATTTTCACAATTTCACAATGAAAATATGTTTATTAAAAAAATTCAATAGTTGTTTTATATTGTATTTATATTATATAATAAAATCGCGGTACAGAACTGCGGCTCCCATGCATTTTGCAAAACCTACATTTCGATTCCCACTTAAATTTTGCATGCCTGATATATAGCCTACTTGTTTTAATACAATTTCACGCACTGAATTGTTATTATACAATTTATTTGCATCAATTACACGTTGATTTGTATTATATTTTTTTGCTGTACATGTGGTTGTACTGGCTAAATAACGTAGTAGTAAAACAGTTCGTGTTATTCGAATGATAGATGCTACAAAATGATATTTCAAAATTTTTATGGAAATAACTTTTTTTTTTTTTTTGTAAAACGTTTTCTACGACGAGGTGCAATAATGTCTGCAAAGTATGTCATTTTAGCAACTTTTTCATCCATAGTTTGATTAGCTCTTCAATTACATGGATGAAGAAATCGTCATTTATTATCTTAGCGTGTCTAACAGGAATCATTTCGTTGCATTTTAAAGAGAAATATTCATTTTATTCGACTAAATAAAATTAATAATATTTCTAATATATATAAAATACAGAAGTCACAAAAAATTTTCATGTTCCCCTTTTCAACACAAGTAACTAACAATGTTAGTGTCTGATTTTTCTTCTTTAATTAAACCAGTCATATACGAAGTTTTTCGGATATTAAACTTAGCAACTTCGATAACACAACCCATCCAACATGAATCATTTTTCAAACATTAATAGTAGACGGAAGTTTATGAGTATTCGTTGATCATCCTCCCGGAAGTGAGGATGATCAACCACTACTTTTATTCGAATTAACTTTGACACTCTTCTGCAACGGTTTCTTTTTTCTATCGGACCAGCGGTACGGTGGCATTCGAATAGAACATTACATAATATAAGGTTACCGAGAAGCACAAAATACAATTTAAGTGATTTTCGAGGATGCATGTTGTGTTTAAATATTTGCACCATTTTCGCCAAATTTGATCCGTTGGCAGACTACCGTGTGATATTCGGCTGTAAACGGTATAATTTATTAGAATTAACATTAAAAAGTCAAAAATATATTTTTAATTGTTATCTACCTGACCATTAAATTTGTGTCATTTCATATTATCCGAGTATCCCCGATAAACGAGACATTGGTAAGCTGAAATAATTGAACTTTTTATATGGTTTTCGTTTTAATCATTGCTATATTCTAGTATTTGATTTATATAACTATAAATGTTATCTTAGGTAAGGGTTTATCAAACCGAATGACCAATCTAACAATACAGTAAAGCGTCGATTATCCGAAATTCAATAATCCGAAACGTCAATCATCCGAAAGAATTCCAAATTTAAATTTTCGCCAGTGCTGTGAACTGCTGCAATCTTTGGTTTTGTCTTGGGCTACTCAAATATTTTACGTTTTTGATACTAAATTAACTTCTAAAGTATAATTTTTAATTGTTTTTATATTTTTCAATATATTTATGTTGTTTGTACAAAATAAAAAGTAATTTTTAACGATACAATAGTCTTCGTTAGGCTTAACATCGACGAAAATTCAACGCAAAGCGACACGCAACGGAGAAAAATGTCAAGATGAGATAAATTAATAAATTTATTCGTACATAATCAGTTATCCAAAACTTCGATCTTCCGAACAACCCCAGTCCCCAATTGATTCGGATAATCGACGCTCTACTGTATTTTAAATATTCGTCTACTGTACACGATACAAAGAATTTTTAAATGTGTTACAGTGGGCACTCGATGTCATATACCCTTACATAGTATAACCTTTGTAAATACAAATCAAATACTATAAAATAATATAATAGAAAGGTTAGAAGTATAAAATAAACTTAACGTTTCTTTATATTTTCTGCCAGGGCAACGCTGGGCTTATCTGCCAGTATATTATATCTTGAAACAAAAGTTTTAATATTATACGAATAAATATTAATTTTATGAAAGAGAGATAAATTTAACTATTTTTATGATGAAAACTGAACAAGCATTTTTAAATATTCACTTCGACTATCTAAGTACGCTTCTGTGGGAATTTCTAGGAGAAATTAACTGTATTATCTATTACAAACTTGAATAAACCTGTAACTACAGAGTGGCATTCCATAGAGGCGCGAACCCACAACCAAGTATTAACAGTATTTGTTGATTTTTTTTTCTAAATAAGAATTGTAATTTGTAAAATTTGGTGCAATGTGTTTCGATATACGTCTATTATCATATCGGAATTCACGACAACTGATGCTTTTCATTGTTATAAAATTCGCAATTAAATAGTAATTTACAAGTGAAGAAATATGATGAACAAAAATGCATTTATATTATTAATTTTGAATATTTGATAATATGTATAAATATTAAAGTGGTTTGACATTGTTTGCTTTTAATTTATTGACACGTAAATGTATAGAATGTCAAGTTTCGGTTCTTCATGTAAAGTGATAATACGAGAGCCGTTCTAACTTATGTGAAATCTATATAAAAATTTAAGCTATTTCTATAGGCATTCATTACATTATATAAAAGAAAAAGCAAAAATGATAACCCAATTTACTTACTTAAACATCGACAAAATTTAATATAATTTAATATACTTCAATGTAAATCTATACAGATTGAGATTTCTGAAAATACATAGTATTTGTTCGTTTGGTACCCATTTTTCTTTGCTTGATTGGTCAATAAATTCTGAATTAGATTTATATTCACTCAATAAGAGTAGGATATATAATAATGTAATATGTTTTATGTTATTTTTATTTTTAAATTTGTAATTAAATTAATTATAATAATCATTTGAAATGCTTATTAAAGTGCTACAAGCGAAACTAGCAACCTTCCTTTTCAGTAATTCAAAGTAACAGATCGTTTAAACACGCCGTGTCAAGTAATGACTTGATCGAGTTGAATGAAATTTTGCACATTAAGTGAAGTAATAAAATAGCGTGACACATGTGTTTACATATGTATTAAAAACACGCTTTTCGATTTGTTACGTTAGAAATGACACAGTATGATAACACTTACATATGTTTAAGAAAAATTAAACTGCCTATCGTAATAATTCTAAGAATTTTTCTAATTGATTTACTAATCATTGGGCTTCAAAAAACTTGAAAAATGCTGAGGTACGATATATACTGAATAAGATAAAATAATGAAAAAACAAATTTATCTGTACAATAAATGAACTTTACCTCTGACAAGTTCCGATGTACTTTTCTTGTGAAAAAAAGCAAACAAAATCAAAATCTTGTATGTGAAAAACTATTATACCTCCGTCCTCAGTATACGTATAGAATATTAATAATAGTAACGTCGGACGTGGCCTGATCGACATAGTTAACCTTTAAGTTAAAGCTATGTTAAAGGTTAACATAGTTTACACTCATAACATAGAAAAAGCATAGACAGCATTAAGCAATTGTGGGTTCAAACATACTCAAAGACAACACTCAAAAATGACACGTGCGAAAAATGTCACATTATGCCAGAAACTACAAACATATCACTCTTGGCACGAACAGATTATTTACATAGACCTAATCAAGTAGGAAATATATCATACACCAAGAGCTTGCAAAGAAACACAAATTATTAGACATCTACGAACCATACTACAAATATATTCCAAGACAGTATTGAAAAATAACACGCACAAAATGTACTTTGACAGAGCCATAATCTCGAATAAAACAATTTACCACAACAGACCAGACATCACATTCATTGACAAACACTATAAAATCACATACATTATAGACATATACATTCCCCAAACACTTACAATATATAAAACACTGAATATGCACTGAAAAAACAGCAAGTACACAAAACACTCCCAGGAAATAAGGCATCTGTGGACGATGGATAGGAGAGTTATTGTATCTGTCGTTCTCTCCTATACATGTTTCATACTACACACAATACACAATAAGCATGGAATATTACAATTGAATAAAAACACATACTTCACACTTCAGAAGCCACTATATTGAATACATGTCATATTGTTAGGAAATTCCTGAAAACAGGCACACTCAATGACACAATTATTTATTTTTGTCTTTTTTTGGTTATTATGCCTTGACCCTGGCCGGCATAGTACGTAGGCACCAATGTCAGCCTAGTATATATCACTAAACCCAATATAATAATGTGACAATGCGGGAAGCATCCTCTATGCTTTGGCATATGGAACCGAAGGGTCGACATCGCATTTGCGATGACTATTCTGTCTTTAAGGACAGACACAGAAATCTTGATGGCTGCTAATTTCGTTTTTGCGCCAGCGGTCGCGTCTGTAGGGGCTTAGAATCGGGATGGCGATAGCCTGAGAGAGGACTGGAAGAAATGTATGTGACCATGAATTTAACAATTCACAATACCCGTTTATTTATCGATACTATTTACAATTCTGTACACAGTTAGTTAAGATGCTTAGCTTATCTGCTAATTTTATAACACAATATAAGGAAAAGGGATAATCTTATCACTAATATTGCAACCCTGACCGAGTGAGAGAGAGAGCTCAAAATCATTTGCGCGTCCATAAATATTTTAG